TTATCCAGGGATGAAACCTTGGGAATGGACGGTGAAGGCCAACCATGTTGTCTTGACGAAGTTGAAAGGGCCCGAAACCATCCAGATTTCTCTTCGTTTATCAAATGGCTCCACAAGAGTTACTATGGTTTGGATCAAGTTGAGGATTATGTTTGGGGTGACGCTGAGGGGGACCCATTGGCTGACATGCAAGATTTCGCCATGTGGTTGGTGGAAACTGGCCAAGGGTCTTGGGAAGCCGATGAGTCTGTTACCTACCTTGGTGAAACTCCAATGCCTCCGGACAACCAACTTGGTGACTCCGAGCTTTACCCCAATGGCCCAGAGACCACTAGAGCTGTCATAGACAACACTCATGGTTTTTGCCAAACAGAAGTGGTGGGAACTGTGTCCTTTTCCAAAACATGGCAGAAGGATTTGGAACAGGTGATGGTTTCAAACCCCGATTGGTGGAATTGCTCTGTTCTTGGAGGGGGTTTCTTGATCGACTTCGTTGGCCAGAATGAGCTCAAATTCACCCCTGCCAGAAACCAATTCCCCCTTGAAGTTCGCCGTGCAATTTATGACTTTGAGGAATTAGAGTCGGAAACCGAAGGTGATGAACCTATGGGGGACCATGACCTGAAAGACCCTATGGGGGACCATGACCTGAAGGAGGGGGACCATGACCTGAAGGACCCTATGGGGGACCATGACCTGATGGAGGGGGACCATGACCTGAAGGACCCTATGTGGGACCATGACCTCCAGAGCCATGACCTGAAGGACCATGTTGAAACCCACACAGGCGAGCCCTACGCTGGTGATTCTGCGTGGGGTGACTTTGCGGGGACAGGTGATGCTTGGGGCGACAACTATGGGTGGGACTTTAGAGAGGACTTGGAAGGACATGAACAAGAGGATTTCTCCGACGAACTGGAAGCCATCATGGACCAGGCAGTTTGTTCCTTGAATGAAAGAATGAACACTTGTGTTGATACCATGCAAATCATATTTTTCATTGTTGGACAATGTTTCCCAAACCCCTTGATAATCAACAACAATATTGAACATTCCTGAATGGTTTGCATTTGTGTTGAAGGTGTGGTACCATTTGGCAACCAAAAAATCATATACATATATATATATATATATATACCCAATTGTCCAATCAAGGTGAGAGTCGGGAGTCTGATGTGGCCATGGTGGCTGACTCTGAAGAGTGGTCAGGCCCCTTTGATTCATATTAAGAACCTCCAACATGTACATCCAAATCCAATTCCCTTGATAGGAAGTACCATCATTCTTTCATAGAACATCAACCTTTATATTTGGGACAATTGGTGTTGAAGGAATAGAACTTCGGGGTTTCCTGCATCAGCTGAGGTGAGCAAGATTGGTGGAAGCAAGGCGATCCCTGGGACACGAACCATGGATATCCAGGCACTGACCCTATAGCTGGATAGTTAGAACTTCCATGTCTTTTGAAACATATATATCTTATATATAATTTATGTGCCATGCAGGCGATTGGAACGAGCCCTTGCACCATGTGACCACCAGCGAGGAACATTGGCCAAGAACCTCGAATGAATATAAATATATTATTTCTCTGCTTGCGCATCCCCCACTATGTTGTAAACATTGTATACATCCACTTCTTAGGCAGCAACACTTGGGACCAGCCCGAGAATCTGGACCAGACCACCTATTGGCAAAGCCCCTTAACTGTAAATACTTCCTACTTTCCCATGAAGGGTCCCCCATGGGTCCTTGGCCCAGGTGACAGCGAGATGAAGCCAAGTGCACCTATCGCCGAGACTCAGACTGCTGGAAACTGGGGAGGCTGGGAAACCAGGGTTTACTTTGATATTTGCTGCTCTTGGAATCTGGGTTTTTTTTTGGATGAATTTTGGGGAAAAGATGCCCAAGCTGGATATGTTCAAAGCCTTTTTTAAATTTGTGCCATAAAATGGTGCTTCCGTTCTCAGATTACATGGAATGGAGACAACCCGATATGCGTTTCAATGGTGAACCCGACATTAAACCGGGATATTCTACAAGCCCCGTGATTGTTTTTTTGTAAACAGGAAAGAAAACAAGAGTTGGTTTGGTTGCACCATTGGGCCCAGGTGGCTTTGATTGGAGTTTGCCTGGCTTGCCCTCGGGGCAAAATGCGGATTACGACATGGGATATTGGCCAAGCACCTTGAATGTATGTGATAAAATTCAAACCAAAACAGTTTTACATTCACAGTTCAAACTTAGGTGACCCTGATCAGTCGAACGAATACGCTGTGGCCATCTACCCAGAAGAAGCCAATGATGGCGATTGGAGCCCCTTGATTAAAAAGTACTTAAGCCTACCTTGTCCAGAAACCATCTGACCTGTTCTCTAGGTGGCTATGACTGGAGTGAGCCTCATGTGTTTCCCCTGCATGGGACCGATGCTGAGCATGCCCCCAATGAACCGGCCAGTTCCTTGATTGAGATAGTTAGATTCATGTCCATCTGGTAAAAAGTTAATTGAATTTGTTGGTCCCTGTAATTTTTCGATCAGCTAGTAACTCAGGTGGCACCAAGTCATCGGTTGCTGGGCCTGGTGGATGTGCAGAGGATTTGCACGTCCTGGATCCCACAGCTGGTACCCTGACAGAAATGAAATATGTTTCTGAAAACCGGTAATAAAGTCATTGCATAAAATTGTTTGTGTCATTTTCCGTGAAATAGCATCCAAAAAACACTAAATACTACAGTAATGCCACTAAGGTAGCTCAGATGGTGTTCCCGGACCTGATGCGGAACCAGAAGATAAGGACCATGTTCGTTTCTTCCCCTAGATATATGTTTCAATACTGTATATACTGTATATCTGCCGGTCCCAAGATTTAAAGCTGGTGGATACTACATGGCTGTCATACTATAGGCAGACTAGTTTGCCACTTGTGCAGGACTCTTCGTCTTGGAAGAACGCGGAAAACAAAGAGTCGGGGACTCAACTCATTCTGCCTCAGCACCGAAAGTTTTTTGTGGGAAAAATATCAGTGTCAGTACAGCTGGTATCAAGGAAGCTGCATGCCTATGGAGCAACTGCCGTTAAGAAGGACTGCCCCAACATATTTCCCAATATCCCAAAAGGCTTTCGCACCCAGGAATTGAACTTAAGATTGTCATAACCACCGGTTTCTTTGTACACACACACACATATATATATATGTATAGTGTAAACATAGGACACATCGAAAGAACGATCTACTGCCCGCCCAGCCACTTGATTGCAATTTCAACTGAAAATTCAATTCACCTCATGTCGTGTGATTTAACTGGGTTTCAAATCAAAAAGTACTTGTATGAACCAAGGCAGAATTTAATTTGGAGGTGAAAGCACCAGTTTCTTCAATCCCTCCAGTGGTCCTCACGCGCGTCTTTGGGAAGCAGAAGCCCATTACTCCACACAGCCAGCGTCTCCTGGTGGCTGCGCGCAAGGAATCTCGCGCTCCAGCCAAAGCCGAGGGATCTAAAGGTAAAGGAAAAGGATCCAAAGGTCGGGGCAAGGGTGCCAAGGGTACCAAGAGCACCAAAGGCAAGGGCCGTGGAAAAGGGAAGGCTGCCACGAAGGCGAAAACACCTTATGCTATGGCCAAAGCGGCGTACTTGCAGACCTTGTTTCTAGGCCAGTTAAAAGAAGATGGTATATCTTTCGTTCTTTACTCCATGTGGAAACAAATAGACATGCAAGTTGTTGTTGACCCATGAAAATGCCGCATCATCTGTTTGGTCCAACCTATCGTACAAATTATGTTTCTCCAAATGCTCATTGGCCGATATTTTATGATGTATAGGGCCCCTATGTTTTCAGATATACAATTCCTTGAACAGTACGCAACACTTGGTGGCCTAGGTTGGATTCCGGAGAGGGCTTGACGGCCAGGCAAAGGGAGGACAGGTGCCCTCACAGTTTCTGAAGTTCACACAGCTCATAAAAAGATTGGGTTTGGCCCTGTTCAAGATTTTTTCTGATCAATATTTTTCCCGGCTAGGTGGCGTATCAGTGACGAACGCCGTGCGATCGTGGAATCCATGACCCCAACAGAACAAAAACGCAGGAGGTTCACCTAGGCTGCAATAGATTTTTCAACATCTTTCGTTCCAAGGTGTGTGTGTGTGAATCCACACGCATACAAATTGTGTTTGTGGGGCCTGTGCGGCCAATTGTGTCGGGGGTGAGGATCAGCAAGGCTGAATGCACATGGAAAACAAAACCGAATCTCATCAGAATGGAGTGACCCTCCTATGTTTGTTTGGAGAATCCGGCAGTCCTGCTCTCCAGTTTGATGATGTCCACAGCATAAGTGAACTTGATGTTGATGTCCATAACATAAGTGAACTTGATGTTGATGTCCAGCGCATAAGTGAACTTGATGTTGGTGTTCACCACATTCCTCAGATCTGGATCAAAGTTCCCCCAGCACGTGGAACCCAAAATGCAATACTCCAAGCTCGCGGTGATTCTTACCATTCTCGTGAAGAGCCCCTTGGCAAATTAAAATACAGGATCCAAAAAATAATGGCTACAAATTGTCTTTACCACTACAAACAAAAATGGTTACCCGAATGTAGATAAGTAGATAGACGGATAAGTAGGTATACATATATATATATATATATAGACAGATAGACAGATAGATAGACAAATAGATAGACGGCTAGATAGATAGATAGATAGATAGATAGATGGAAAGATAGATGGAAAGATAGATGGATAGATAGATAGATAGACAGATTAGTTATATATACCCACCTTGACTAAGGTTTGGGTGAAGTTGGCGACCCTTCGCAGATCACTGACTTCTGCGAGATCTGTGCAGGTTTGATCGGGCTTTGGGGGTTGCTTTGATATGAGTATAGCTTATCAATAGTTCATCAAAAATTGCCCCGTAGAAAGTCTGTGATGCTTAGCTAAAAAATTGTTTGGGGTTTATGTGTTCTCCTAAATGGTGCCTATTTTGCCCAGCTAGCAGGACAACATATTCTTCACAGTGGAGTTCAACTTGCAGGCCTGAAGAGCCGAGCTTTTGATGTACCATGACTGCAACCGTGTTTAAAGACATAAGGTCATCATATGCACATGGTCATAAACTTTTTAACCATGGGAAAACTTGTTAGTTTGGGTGGCCCTGGCTAGTGCAAACTTCACCCAAGGTTGACTACAGTCGGAAGATGAACCTCCTGTCCAGCTTTGGTTTCTTATTGTGCCTGAATTATGTTACTCTGGTGGCAGTGGATACTAAAAATACCAAAGATGCACTGGACAATGTTTAAACTTCCATTGATTGGTGCCCCATGTAACTGGCTGAGATTCGCCACCTGAAACAAAGTGGATGCGCATGGTTCGCCATTCCATGCAGCAGCTGGGTATGGATGACACTTGGTTTATTCAGATTGCTTTGCATTCAAAGAGTTTTCGTTGTACAACCATATATGCGAAACTTAGGAGTATGGGTTCATCCATGCGGTCGTATCTACGGCCACAGGGGTGGAGCGAAAAACGCTGCACACAGATCGGCAACCGTCTTGCCCGCAGGCTTTGTTACATGTCAGTCTCTTAATCAGGGTTTAAAATGCTGCCAAAGAAACGCCTGCAAAGTCACAGTTGTATCCAAAGGCAATGCAGTCATAGGCATCTCTCAAATTCCTAGGTTGGAGCTGTGCTTCCGCAAAAAGGTATTCTACATTATTGAGCAGCCCCAGAGCAGCCTGTTATTTCAATACAAGCCTCTGAAAGATCCTTGCATCTTTTTGGATATTCTTTTGGTGGAACCCTGTTCACAAGATTTTGGTAACCCTTTGATAAACCGGAACTTTGGGTGAAGCATATATAGGTTTCCATGAAAATAATTTCACCCTCACTAACTGCCCTATATTTGGACTGCCCAACTAAGAAGCTCCTGCTACGTCATGGAGCACGTATGGGCCAATGCTCCCTTGGAGGGTATTTTGCACCTACATTGAAGCCAGCAACCCATCAGCACTGATGACAAATATCCATGTTTTCTACAGATTTGGTTTTTATTATATACCCACATTATGTTATCTTTCAAGTGGCCAAACCCACCAAATAGCCAATCAGTTAAAGTTGTAATCTACAATCCCTTTCCTATATATATTATATATATATATATCCTTATATATACTCCCAGGTCTGGTTGATACATATTATTCACCAGCCCAAATCTGAGGTGATTCTTTATGGAACTGCACCTTTCTTGGAAAACCTTGTGGATATCACGCCATGCAGGTTCAGGAGGTGATTGCATGGGTGCAGTGGTGCTCCCACATTTTTGTACAAAAATGATATGGTTTTGTTCCAAATTGAAGTTTCATGTCAAACACTTCCAAGAAACAGGAAAAACCTTCACTTCCGCTCATTTGTTTTTTTGCGCCCATGGGGTTTACACCCGGCATACAGGCAACAACTCCGACGCATTCGCTCCTTCTTGAAGCTGGACATTGCGCGTACTTACTTGGATCGTGCTGGACGGAAACGGGTTGTAAGATACTCAGACATGGGGGATCACCCTGTCAAGTAAATTGTTAGCAAATGGGGTTACAACTAAATCTGAAAACTTCGTATATATCATTGCTTAAAAGGTTGGATACACCCAGATTTATAGTGGATTTATTTTGGTTTACAAATATATCTATGTCGGGGCTGTCAGTCCATTCACGACAAAGTGTCGCACAGTCTATTCATCTGATGTTTGTAATTACTGTCTTTCAATTTCAGCTTTAACAATTGTACCCTACAGATCCCCAAGGTTGGTGGGAAGCACCTCCGGTCCACCCAACAATACCCGGGAAACCTGGGTATCCGCGTCGCTTGGTTTAAGATGATGGGTAAGGAATTTTGCCTTGAACTTGTGCTTCAAAAAATGATTATTTTTGAAACCCCCATCCAATATATATAGTGGATTTCTTGAAGTTTTAGAGGGGAGCCCAAAACCAACCCATATATTATAAGCCTCGTGTTCTGGATTACTTTTTCGGTTTATATAAGGAAACCTTTTACAGCCATCATCATCTTGATTTACTTCTGGCTCATATGCCAATCGGACATCAGAGTAATCACAAAAATACTAAAGATATCTGTCTATATCTTTGTGCATTTATTTATTTAGGAATATATTCGCATACATGTATTGTATATATATTGAAAATATTATATAATAATTTATAATATATTTATATATAGAATATCATATTACACCCTTTCGAGATCTATACCTGCCCCCATGCAGCCAAGGTGGGTGAGGTTCTTGCTGAGCACATGCAGTCGGTGAAGAGGGAAGATCAACAGCCAATTCCTGACCAGGGAATGCGCTTTCAAGATGTGGGCGATGATTCCAGTGACAGCGGGCTGGAAAGCATCATTTAAACCATTTTTAGCGAACCTTAATTTACCTTCTGGGCTTGGCATCACTGAGAACATATCGTTGCTGGGATTCTCAAAGCCTTTTAAAGATAAATCACATAAGACTTGTTGCTAAGGTGATGTCATGTTAGGCCCGGAGATCTGATCGATGCAGGTCAACTGCACTGACTTACATGGGGATAAAACCACGTGCTCATTGATTTGTTTTAAATTCGCAGGCTTGTCATATACAAACCATATGAGCCAGAATGATCATGTAGCACACGAAATGCCACGAATTGCCACGAAGTGACTATAAGTGACACGGAATGACACGAAATGACACGAAATGACACGAAATGACACGAAATGACACGGAATGACACCGAATGACACGAAATGACACGGAATGACACGGAATGACACGAAATGACACGAAATGACACGGAATGACACGGAATGACACGAAATGACACGGAATGACACGGAATGACACGGAATGACACGGAATGACCCCGGGGGGGGAAAAAAAAATAAAAAAAATGCACGATGACACGAAATGACACGGAATGACACGGAATGACACGAAATGACACGGAATGACACGGAATGACACGGAATGACACGGAATGACACGGAATGACACGGAATGACACGGAATGACACGGAATGACACGAAATGACACGAAATGACACGAAATGACACGGAATGACACGGAATGACACGGAATGACACGAAATGACACGGAATGACACGGAATGACACGGAATGACACGAAATGACACGGAATGACACGGAATGACACGGAATGACACGGAATGACACGGAATGACACGGAATGACACGGAATAACACAGAATGACACGAAATGACACGGAATGACACGGAGTGACACGGAGTGACATGGAATGACACGACATGACACGGAATGACACGGAATGACATGGAATGACACGGAGTGACACGGAGTGACATGGAATGACACGACATGACACGGAATGACACGGAATGACACGGAATGACATGAAACAAACAAAAAAACATTTTTGGGGGGGACCCGGGGGACCGTGTCATTTCGTGTCATTTCGTGTCAACGGCATCATATGGGACATGAAAACGTGTCAAAACGTGTCAGCCCGTGCCCCAAATTTGCCATTCCCGAAGTGGGCTATAGGAACCTTTTTTTTGGGACCCCGGGGGACCGTGTCATTTCGTGTCATTTCGTGTCAACGGCATCATATGGGACATGAAAACGTGTCAAAACGTGTCAGCCATGTGCCCCAAATTTGCCATTCCTGAAGTGGGCTACTTGAACCTTCTTACGTACCAGGGACATGTTGTTTCACTAGATGTCGTATCATTTCGTGGCATTTCGTGTCAACAGCATTCTACAGATTCACAATAGCCACCCACTAGCTTTTGCAACATTTTTGATCAAGTGATTTGTATGTAGGCTAAAAGGACCTTTCACCTGTTGGGCATGGCCAGCAGCTACGCTCTAGCAAAAGGTGACCTTTCCAAGGGGAAGTCGAAATCAGACTTCATGAAAGGCAAAGCTGTGACCGTTGAGGGGGGAGGCAAGACCCACACAAGTGACCCCTTTGGTGGTAAACCCAAGGGTGCCAGCAAGTCGTCCCACATCGGCAAATCCTCCGATCCCAATCATGATAGCATAGTGGATGTTAGCTACAAGGGTGCCAAGGGCAAGCCTGACATTTCCAGTGGCTATACCAAGGGCAAGACCGACCCAACCAAGGGTTACAAAGGCCATGGTGACATGAAGGGCAAGTCGAGTGGTGTCGATGTTGGGAAAAGTTCCGGTAAGTCAACTGGACCTGCTGATGAAAAGACTGGGACCAAAGGTGATCATGCCAAGGGTTATCATAGTTCCAAGTCGGGGGATTTTTCCAAGGGCAAGACTGAGTATGCCAAGGGCAAGAACAACACGGACTATGTCAAGGGCAAGACCGACGTGACCAAGGGTTACAACAAGGGCTCCACCGAAGAGATGGGAAAAGGTAAGGCCAAATGTGGGGTGGTTGGAAACAGTTGCGGAAATGAGGGAAAGGGTCATGTGGACCAGACTTCTGGGAATGACAACACTGAGACCATGGGTGACCACGCAAGTGGCTACAACACCAAGGGCTACGGCAAAACTGAGTATGCCAAGGGCAAGAACAACACGGACTTTGTCAAGGGCAAGACCGACGTGACCAAGGGTTACAACAAGGGCTCCACCGAAGAGATGGGAAAGGGAAAGACAAAATGTGGGGATGTTGGAAGCAGTTGCGATGAGTCAATTGGGAAGGAAAAGGGTCATGTGGACCAGAATTCTGGGAATGACGACACTGAGACCAAGGGCAACCATATCACCAAGGGCTACCATTCCAAGTCGGGGGATTTCTCCAAGGGCAAGACTGAGTATGCCAAGGGCAAGAACAACCCGGACTATGCCAAGGGCAAGACCGACGTGACCAAGGGTTACAAGGGCTCCACCGACGAGATGGGAAAGGGTAAGAGCAAATGTGGGAATGTTGGAAAATGTTCCGGTAAGTCCAGTGGATCTGCCGACACCGAGGCCAACCAGGACAAGATGGGCTATCACAGCAAGGGTTATAAGGGCTACAGTTCCAAGTCGGGTGATTTCTCCAAGGGCAAGACTGAGTATGCCAAGGGCAAGAACAACATGGACTATGCCAAGGGCAAGACTGATGTGACCAAGGGTTACAAGGGCTCCACCGACGAGACGGGCAAGGGTAAGACCAATGTGGGTGATGATGGCCCAACAAGTTCTGGGAGCAAGGGATCTGCCACAGAGACATGGGACCACACCCCCCCCAATCCTGACGACTCAAAGGACTGTATACAGTTGTGATCTGGGGGACCGAGTACCATATCGCATATATGTACCAATTCCCAATTGTTTCACAAGGTATAACCATACCTCACTATAGTTCATGATTACATATTATATTTCTATATATATATAAGCACACATATACATACATACATACATACATACATACAGACAGACAGACAGACAGACAGACAGACAAACAGACAGACTGACTGACAGACAGACATACAACATACAAACATGCATACATACGTACGTACGTACATACATACATACATACATACATACATGCATGCATACATACATACATACATACATACAAATATATATGTGTGTGTTTAATTGTATATATTGGATATGCAAAAATATTTATCATCTAAAAACCCATATATCTTTACAAATATATATATATATGTGTGTGTGAAATATCAGCCTTCTCCGCAGGACAAGCTGCCGCCAACTCTTGCCAGTGGCAATGGTGTTTTGATGGAAGAGGACAAGGACGTATCAGCCACCAAACTTATGGACGACCATGAGAGGAAAGTCAAACATTGGCTTAGCAGGGCACCTTACCATCTTTTGGAGAACGCAGTTGAAACCGCACGTGCCCACACATATTTCCCAATCTTCGAGAGAGACCTTTGGGCTTCCATGGGGAATCATGCTTTTGGAGCTAAGCCTATGGAGGATGTTCTCAAGTTCGACATGTGGCTGAAGAAATGGGAAATTTCGGAAACCAAGAAATCGATTCCTGCACCAGCCCCAGCAGCCCCGGTGAAAGAAGAGACCACAGCCTCGGAGTTTCCACCCCCCAAAAACCCAGAGGCCTACAAGGAGTATTGGAAGAAGTTTGAGAGAAAGGATGCTTCTTCTACACTGTCACTTGCCAGTACTGAGTCTCCGCCGTCCAGGGAAAGTGGGACCCCGTCTACACCCAGCCCTTCAGTTGCTTCGGACTCGACGACTGGACTCACACCAGACTGCAAACGGAAACTGGCTTTGGAAGGCTGGGGATTTAATTTCATCTTTTCAAAGTTAGATTTCTGAAACCCTCTTTACACAATGCTTCATTTTTGTTGGGACATCCATGAGACTTTTGCGACCGATAATATTTGAGATCTCCTGCATGCAGGTGCTGAAGCGGGTGAACGGTTGGATTCTCAAAGTTGTTTCTTCCAAGTTTACCCAGTGCTTTTTTTAATGATAGCACATACTCATTATACTGGCATGCAATATATATAGTGTGTGTGTGTGCCCAACTCATTTTACAACCACTTCTGTTTTTCAAGTCGTTTTTTGTTAACAAACAATCATCTTAAAACAACCTGCATCGATCATGAGGCCGGCCCTCGTGCGCCGAAGCACCAGTGTCATGAGCGATGGTTCTGGTGATGTGGACATGGAACGTCTTGGGGATGGGAAAACCCGGAGGGCTGGGGTCTCAGCTAGCATATATATATATGTATACATATACAGTATATTTACATGTGGAACATTATGTGACCACAAAAAAAACTGTATAGATGATGTTTGGGACTGCTAAGGTCAAGACACTGACTGCGGAGGATGCCGAGCGAATCAAGGTGGACCAACCAAGTATTTTTGCCAATCCATTTTTGCAAAAACAAACTTCCAAAATAAACATACACTTGAAGAATAGAAAAACTTTCTGGACGGGAATGATTATTTGTTTTAGCGGCATCATCGAAAAGTGTAGCATAGTTTGACCCATAGTTTTCATATCGCGTGTTTTTGCTTGCCAGGCCATGACCAGCATTGAGGACCTACCTGCAGACGAACGCAAACGTCAGCGGGAAGCTTTTCGAAGGCGACTTGCTCAACCTGGATTAAGGCCTGGCCTGATCCAGAAATGGCAGGCATGTCATGACCAACAATCGAAATTCAAATTCCTCCAGGCATTTATGTTGGACCCCCAGTGCCTCGGAAGTATCCAGATAGAAGCAGAGTACGTCAACCAAGCCGAACATGAGGACAGCAGTCAGTGGGCCGAATTGCCTCTTTCGACCCTACGCAAGCAGTTCACCTCACCTGAGGAAAAGGCCTTCCTAGAAAACCAAGTTGTTGGAAAACAGTCTGGACGTGAGCACCCCCAAGATCCCTCGAACCCGGAAATGAGGCTTTACTGGATTTACCGGGAGACCACCGACACCACGAAGAACTTACAGCGTGTTGGGAATCGTTTGTCAGGGAAGGGGAATGTCCCGGCCAACAAGGCCGCAGTCCAGGCTTGTGTTGATGGCATAACTGGGTTCGCTTCGGACTTTGGCAAGGGCAAGGGGGCCCCAGAACCGACTGTGGTTGGGAAAGGAAAAGGCAAAGGGAAGACCAAGAGCGGAGAACCTCCCGAGAAGAAACGCAAGGCCCACCTGAGAAGAAAGCTGTTTGCATGGTGCCCAACCTGTATCCTTTTGGGGTTTGTGAATAGGGGTTTTGTGAACTATAATATATGGGTATATATATAATTACAAACTTTATACTATATATGGTTTTGGATTTTCCGTTTTTAAAGGATCATACAAATCTGAATTGAAGTATTTTTTGGTCATGCAATTTTCCCCTAAACCACCCATGGACCAGTCCTTCGTCCAAATTGGCCCAATGACGATTTGCATTCCTTGGCAGGTGAAATCCCCAGAAGAGATCCGAAAGAAGAACTTCAGCGAAAAGCTGGAGAAGCCACACCCTCAAAAAGAAGTATGGAAATCCTTAAGTGCTATCATGTCTTAACAATCAGTGTATCATTCTACAAGTCGAAATTCCTATACATTACTTTTGGACTATACCTGCTCTTGTATTGAAATCAAATGGGTGTTGAATTCCTTGGCTGAGGGTTGGAAAACTGGCTACGAAAGCTAGATCGGTGGCTGAAGCTGTCTCGAACAGCGGGATTGCGCATCAGGAGGCGCTGGACCTCATGCATATATTTTTTCATGTGTACACCATCCATATATGTTTATATATATATACATTCGGTATGATATATATATATATCAATATGATATGCATGATATATATATATGTATATATATATATAAACATATATACATACATATATATATATATAAACATGTATATATATATATAATACATTGACATACTCCAATTGGAGGCTACAGTTGGGAGCCTGCGGGATATCTTCGCCAAGCTGAACCAGATCAGCAAAGAGTTCGGGCCCCAAAGTTGGTTATTTTTTGACCACATTGGTTTTTAGATCTTATGCTTGAAGAAACCTGTGCTCACATACTGAGGATATCTGATGATGTCTTCAGAATGGTGTCCTTTGAAGTGTGCGAAGCTGCGTTGGACAAGCATGATGATTTTCTTGAGGCCCGTATAGCTTTGACACATCTTGGTTTTACCAATCTATATCCCATTCAATTCTAGCTCCAGTGGTGGGTCAATAACCCCAAGCAAATGCATATCTAGAGATCTATATTTTGAAGAGTTCATAATGGTGGTATCAGAATGTATCAGAGTTCGAGCAGTTGGGATTGTATCCGCTCAACGCAGACGGCGGCAAAACAAGTCAAAGAAGCTGAAGGGATCAAGGAAAGCCATGATCGCCGTCTGGTTCTCAACATACCAAGTTTGCTGAATCCCCCTACAATAATCATTTGTAAGCTGTGTCCTGGTCAAAACCCTCTCAACCCCATGCAATGGATGAGTTAAGATTAAAGTCACTGCTACTCAATTATGAACCATATACTTACAAGTTGGATTTTTTAGGGTTGAAAGCGTTCAAGAAAAACGGAGAAAAACATGTCTCAGAAACGGTATTAATATGGCATATCCTTCCAACCCCAGTTTGATCACTGCAAGACCCGGCCATCAGCCCATTTGAGGTATCGCAGCAGAGAAGCGAAAGGCCGAAAAGGCCTTGCAGGCAAAGGCGGGTGTGAAGGCCAAAGCCAAGGGGAAGGCCAAGCCCAAAGCGGCCGTGGCTCCTACTTGGGGGAACGAGGATGTGCCTGATGAATGGCCAGCTGATGATGACTTAGAAGGTGAGAACGATGAGGAGTTAGATGGTGAGGAGCTGAATAGCGGCGATGAAGGTCTCTAGAAGCCTTTTTTGAAATGTGAAATGATTTGTTGGAATACCAACATGGTTATTGGGACAGGGCACCCTACTGGGGAAAATGTAGCGGACCTGTCAGCTTAGTCACCAGAGATCGAAAGGCCCGTGCAAACATGTGTCTAAAAGTGCGCTGTCTCGACCCATCATTCGAGCAACAGAGCTTCTGTTCATGTCGAGATGTTCCAAAAGATAGTTATTTTGAATTTCGGTCACAAATCCACATCAATCATTGATTTTTCATTTTTGAACACTGCTGCCATTTCCTGAAGAATTCAATTGAAATGCCTAGTTTTTCCAATTCCGGGAGAGATGATCCCAATGATTTGCAGCAAGCCATTCATGGTTTGGTGGCTGAATTCTTTGAAATGTTGGGAGATGGAGAGGCCGGGTCACTTACCATGTTGTTCTTTGTATATATATATACTGGTTGGCCTGAAAATGGAACAAAGAATTGTATGTCCAAAAATGATACATAGTGTTAGGGGGTGTTCATATTCAGACAAACCCAAGTATATATTTTTATGCACACATATCATATGTAAATAAATAAATATAAATAAATGAATATATATATATATACATAAAAGTCATTAATGTATGTATCGTTTCTAAAATCGGGCATTCATGATTCACCACATTGACCACTAAAACATTCGGCAGCCAGCCCCCTGCCAGGTCCAGCTGCAACGGATCCAATCCCTTCTATGCCCAGCCCTCATTTGTTTTTTTTGTTCAGATCACCCATGTTCTAAATGAAAAATTCTTGTGGTTGAAACTGCAATATGGAATTTTATGAGGGGTTTGAAAGAATCTGAAATGAATCGAGATCGAAAATTTTATCCCTTAGATGTTGCCCGCAGCAAGGCCGATTGGAGAAGCTTCCTCACCCTTTGATACCGCCGCCCGACTTAAGTGGATGGATCACCCAAAATTGTCGCAAAGCTTTTTGAAAATTCCCATGTATACTTTATTGATTGATGTGTTCAATTCTGATTGGATGGTTCCTCTATTGTGTTCACTTCTGACCTTTTCACTTCTGACCTTTACCTTGCCCCAGGGAACCGGTGCTCGCCCTGGTCGAATCCCTCCGATGCCGGGCCCGTGGGCACTCTTGGGGGTCCGGGCAGATTCTTGAGCGGTGGACTCATTCCCAGCCTTGGCGCGGCTGGGTGGCAATCCCTGGTCTTTAAAATAGAGGTGGTTAAATGTTCTTTCAAGACAAACCAGTTTCAGTCAATTCCAGACAGAAAAATAGATCGATGGCTGTTAATTGATTTCAAAATCCATTATTACTTTGTTGTCCAAACAATGTTGGCTGCCAAATGCTCTGAGGAAAAGCCCTTCCATTGCCATTTCAGACTCTTGTTGGCATAAGGTCTAAACCGAACATGCCTATTGATTTAAAATTCAAAACTGGAAAACAATAAATCGGCATTTTTTTTCAGATGCTGTGCTCAGGTTTCCAGTGCCAATATATTGCGATGATGCTTGGGGCCCCCGAGAGAGCACAGGGAGTCACAGCATGTTCTTACCGCACGAGATTGTGGGAACATTTTATCGATATGCCCCTGTAGATTTGATGGTCCGTTTGACCGGTCAACCTGGGGAACCTCAGCTCGATAAGATGTCATCATATCTCATATGTTTTCTTTTGGTTCCATCCTATCTTTTATATAATGTTTTTTTTCCCATCCTATGGGGATTCGATCCTGATATATTGATTTACTTTTGGTGGTTTCCCCAGAGGATTGCAGACCTGCAAATAGTCAAACAATGTCCAATCCCAAAATTTCTTTCCAAGCCCCCAATTCCCCGTTTGAGGAATTGACGAAATTCTGGCACGATGAGATGGATACTGCCTGGTATCGCGAGCACCCGATTCTTCAGGCAAGGGAGGGGTATAACAGTACAACAAACCTGTACACAATTTAGAAAAATCGCTATACATATATATATATATATATGTTATTTATATTTATTTTATATTTATATCCATCGGCTCTATTTAAATCATCATTTTGTTTCTCCATATCTTTTCGATATATGTATTTTCAGTATATGTATCGACCTACATGACCTACATATGTATATATATATATAGTCGCAAATATACTTATCTATTCTATCGGTCTATCTATCTGATCTATCTATCGATCTATCGGTCGATCGACCTATCGATCTACCAATCTATCACCCAACCAATCTATCTTTGTTTATTATATGCATGCGGGTCTGTCTATCAATTATATCGTCTATCCATATGGCAATATTACGAGGCGAACGATCCTGCCAAAGTACTTCCTCTTCGGATATTTGGGGATGGTGCGGAAAGCCATAGATACTTGGAATAAAAGGGAACTCTCAAATGTAAATTGAGGGAACGCATCCGGATATCACAAAAAGATTGCCCAAAAAACATTTGAAAACATATGATTATAATTGTTGTTTGCATTATCCGTGCATTATCCGGGATACCAGCATACATATACCCAAGGAAATTTATCTCAGTTCTGGTTTTACCGAGTCAAACCCAACTCGAAAATCTGATCTCCTGTTTCAATCAAAACACACATCCAACCGTTGAGGAAAACAGAAGTTCGAGATGATCAGCTTGGTTCTACCCTTGGCGGCCTCCTCATCAACGATGAATTCCCGGATCATGCTGCATGGCTTCGGGTGCTAGCTGCACACCACTTCAATGGTTTTTTTGATTCTTTACACTGAAACATTTTTTTTGACCAATTGATGAGGTTGTCTTGCATGAGTGCGACCTATTGCAACGAAAATTCAAGAGTCAAGATACTGGAGACCATTGCTTGGAGTTTCGAAGCGTTGGGCAACTTTTTTGGAAATACATTACAACTCTTTTTTTGGAGGGGGCTGCAACCACCAGTTTAAATTGAAATTATTGTTATCCACATATGATTTTTCCTTTATTATTCTGGGCATCAAAGATTTTTTTTACATATGTATTTTCCCGTAGTTCGAACTCTATAGATATATTTGCCATACATCCTATGCGGAATTTACTATTACTGGACCCTTGACACAAGAAACTTTCCAGATCCTTGTGGCTTCCCAGGTACTGGAATTTTTCCCACTCATGACCCATGGGGAGTGCCATTTTCGGCTACCTACTGCAAGGAGCGTTGGAAGCTGGGGGGCACACGGATCGCAGGTGATTTTGTTGGCTGTTTGGAAGGGATCCAGGGCGATCAAGACTACATCAGGGCAATGATGACACCTTTCCGTTCCTCAACTGGAAGTACCAGCCATTTTTTCCAAGTCATATAGTTGTTTTTTAACCTGTTTTACAGGAGTACCAGCCCGAAAGAGCGCACAATTAAGCACTTGTTTTCTTGAGCCATTGCACAAGGAGTAGATGTTACAACAAGGTATATATATATGAGATGTATAAGAAACAGATTAATCGCACCGCCAGATTTCCAAGGTTTCTACTCCAAACAGCAATGCTGCTATTATTGCCGGGCCCTGGCTTGGATCTACGAGAGTGACAATCCAGAATGTGCTGAATATCTCTACACAAATTTTGGGAGGGAAGCCGCCCATCGAAGAACGCTACATGGTCTGCAAATTCATCACTAATAAACTTTCTGAAAAACTAGATTTGATTAGAAGTTGAGCTCCCGGCTAGTATACAGTAAGAATTCTTACAAGTTTCTGATATGGTTTTCTCATAAATTTACATGTGGATTGTCCTCCAAAAAACAAACATATATGGCGGCCTGAATCTTCAAACTGCCTTTTCTGTTTTTATGTTGTTCTTATGAAGCAATTCTAGGTTGGTGTCCAGAGAAGAATGGATGGACATCAGCACTCCGTCACCCATATGCAGAATACCCGGATGGACCCCATGGAGACGCTCTTCCAAACATAGCATTTTTGAATCGAAATTTACACTTTTGATTTGGTATTTGCATGATGCAACGTTCTATTATACACAAAGATTCTGATAAGTTAGCTTGGGTCGGGACACCAAAAATATATAGGCCTGCAGGCAAACCATTTTCCACTACGGCCCAGGAATACTCCCGGACCAAATGCACTTGGTGCACCTTACGATAGCACCTGATGTGATCATTTCGTGCTTGCTGGATTGGACTGACAACGAAGACTATGTTTCTGGGAACACCAGGGACCGACGCCTGGAAGTGCTTTGGGAGAATTACCGTGGTTGGTGTGAGGAAAACCAGATCAGTGACAGGGCCCAAAGGAAGCTTTTCAGTGTGGGAGTACTAACCCCAGATGCTCCTGGTTATGTTGAAGTGTCTCAAAAACGACTCAATGCTACTGGTGCTCGCTACATGTTGTTCTGGCTTGCACATGTTGCAAAAGACTACGCTATGAGCCATGGGACGGATGCCGACATGCACCTTTCAAATAGCATGAACCCTATACGTTTTTTTTGTGGGTTTGATACTGACTGGCTTGCAAAGGTTTCACATTTTACCCCATCAACCAGATTATCATTTTCCGGGATAGCCTGGCTTGCATGGACCCAGGTACCGAGCTGGTGCTGCATGTGGGCTTGCTGAAATGGAGACCATCAGTTTGGAAGGTTCGAGGAGGTTGACTCAATCTGAATGGGTCAAGTTTGAAGAAAGCTACCTCTGTTACCGAGCGAGTCATAACCATTTGGTAGACATGGCCATTGGTGCTGGACTGCCAAGATGGCATGTTAGGCCAAAAGGCCACTATTTGGAGCATGCGGTCTACGATTTCCAAAGGAAAAACCTGCGATACATGTCCAATTTTTTAGATGAGGACATGATCCGACGTACAAAAAAAATGGCATTAGCAGCCCACCCAAGGCATGTTTCAAAACATGTGTTGTACAGATATGCGCTTTCAGCTACTCTTCGATGGTCTGGAATGATCAGGTGAAAAAGACAAATCCGAGAACTGAATTGTTTAAAGGGTATGGTATGGGATGGTTCTCCAGGATTAAACAGATCCATTTGTTTAAACCCCTTTGAAATCTTGGTTAACATCAACTTCGATATTTATGGGTGAACAATTTTAAAGGAATATATATATATCCCCGTTTCCCTCGAAAGTCTTTTGGGTTGAAGATTTTTATTGGGCGCAGGGATTGGCAATTGCTGTTTATGACTCGGCTGATCTGTGGTTTGACGCAATTTCCCACACACACAGAGATTATATATATATATCTATAACATGTAGTATGTATATATATATATATCCCACACACACAGAGATTATATATTTATAACCACTATCTAGTCCCGCACAAGGCGGTGGCGGAAGTTTCAATGATAGAAAATGATGGATGGCAGAGCGAACCCACTCATGGTTCATTGGTCTCCGATTGAGGCTTTAATTCTACCACATGCAGCATTTTCTGCATGACCTGTTCATAAAACAGCTCTGCTTGCAAGTTTGGTGCATGTGTGTCATGGGCGATCAGCTGTCCAGCAACACTGCCAACAACCAGCATGGCACCGGCAACATATATGATGCTGGTGTCACAGGGGGGGTGGGGAAGCAAAATGGCACCGGCAACATACATGACACCGGCTTCATACATGGCACCGGCAACATAATGTTGCTGAACAATCCTTCTTGGTACAGTTGCAAATCACAATGGAATTCTGTCGACCGCACATGCACGAAAAACAGTTGAAACCCCATTTACAATGCGGAACCGATCCGAGACCAATCCGCCCATGATCCGCCCATGATCCGACCACACACGAGACCGTCTCGCACCCGTCGCACCGCAGAGGTAGATCATCGGCGTTCGGGGACGAACTTTGTATGGAAAAACATAGGCTTTCGTGCATCTGCTCTCTCTCAAAAACGCATTTCGTGCGAGACTTCCTTCAAAACTCCATCGGCAACTCCTCCACCAGCACCACTTGCAACCCCATTTACAGTGAGGGAACGATCCTAGAGTTGCAAATCACAATGGGAATTCCATCGGCAACTCATCCACCAGCACCACTTGCAATCCCATTTACATTACGGGAACGATCCTACAGTTGCAAATCACAATGGAATTCTGTCGACCGCACATGCACGAAAAACACTTGAAACCCCATTTACAATGCGGAACCGATCCGACCATGATCCGAGAATATCCGACCATGATCCGACCACACACGAGACCGTCTCGCACCCGTCGCACCGCAGAGGTAGATCATCGGCGTTCGGGGACGGACTTTGTATGGAAAAACACAGGGTTTGGTGCATCTGCTATCTCTCAAAAACGCATTTCGTGCGAGACTTCCTTCAAAACTCCATCGGCAACTCCTCCACCAGCACCACGTGTGAATCCCATTTACAGTGAGGGAACGATCCTAGAGTTGCAAATCACAATGGAATTCCATCGGCAACTCATCCACCAGCACCACGTGCAATCCCATTTACATTGCGGGAACATTTTTTTTGACTAACTCGTTCCCTAACGAACACTTTCTTTGCTAACTCTTTCTTTGCTCTTTCTTTGACTAACTCTTTCCCTCACTAACTCTTTCTTTGACTAACTCTAACTCTTTCCCTCACTAACTCTTTCTTTGACTAACTCTTTCCCTCACTAACTCTTTCTTTGACTAACTCTTTCCCTGACTAACTGTTTCTTTGACTAACTCTTTCTTTGACTAACTCTTTCCCTCACTAACTGTTTCTTTGACTAACTCTTTCCCTCACTAACTCTTTCTTTGACTAACTCTTTTGACTAACTCTTTCCCTCCCTCACTAACTCTTTCTAACTAACTGTTTCTTAACTCTTCTTTAACTACTAACTCTTTCTTTGACTAACTCTTCTTTGACTAACTCTTTCTTTGACTAACTCTTTCCCTGACATTCTAAAAGTCCGTAACACGGAAGTTTCTCCCCCTAAACTTCCTTTGATAATCAAAACAAACAAGGGGTATTTGACTCCAATCAGTTGGTGGGGATGTGGTGGGTCCGTCATGGAATACGCACACACATATATATATATACATAAAGTAACCGGATGGAGATCTAAGGTCTAAGTTTTGAGTGCGATGGGTTTACACACCCCAAACTAGAACAACATCCTGTAGCTTTAAACTAGGACCGTCCGAGGACAGGTCCGGCCATCGAGGGGATCGACCAGTGAGTTGGGCGGCGCATTACCACACAAGGCCGGCATGCTGCGTCCATGGACATGGATCTGCATGGCATAGTCTTGGGGCCTTGAGGACCCTCATAAAGCCCAAGGCCACAGAAACTATACAAATGCATGTCTTGGGACTCTCTCTAGACAAGCTTGATCACAAACCCTGCCCACAGAACCTACTTCCGCTGCAATTCACAGAGTATCACCTGGGAGATCCATAGCCAACCCAAACCCCAACCCGTTGGCAGAGAAGTGCATGGCGCATCTGATCGGACGTGTCAGGAATCCTGTGTGTTGAATGAACATAACCAAAGTCAGTCTCCCCAGTTTTGAATTTCATGTTTACATATGTTTTCGCTAAAAAAACTCATATGAATGGTTTCTCAACCACTTTCCACATCTGGACTGCAAATCCAAACTGGAACTTAGGATCCGTGGCTATAAGCATACTTGGTCCAACAACCTTAAGTATTGGGATTTCATATTTTTGATTGTTATTTTTTTCTCTCCCGGCAACCCATGCCATGTTCAAATCTTGAGTGTTCCTGTTCACAATTTTGCCATTCATGTTGAAAATTCTCAGACAATTCCCAGCATTCCATTGATCCAGTTATTAACCAGTTCTATCCTATATGTTTGTTGGTTAAACACATAGTTTCATGTTTTTTTATTGGTAAACCCCCATACATTGCATATTGTTCACTGAAAATAAAGTGTGTGTGTGTATATATGTATATATTGATCAACCCATGTGTCATCATTTTCTGGTGGTAAACCCACCACATTTCATCATTTTTGCTGAAAAAAACAGATGATTAAACCACCAAGTTTCATCATTTATGGTTGGTTTAACCATGTGTAACCCCGCAGCATTTCCATGGCATTTCCCGTTTCCCCCCTCCCGTTCCGCCGGCGCGACCAAGGCGCGTCCATCAGTTCGCCGCGGAACTGTTCGACTGCCTCGTCGGCGCCGGCGAACCTCTCCACGAAGGGACAGAAGTCGCGGCCACCTAACCTGGGTGGTTTTCCCACGCAGCAAATATATAGATATTAGTGTATATTAATGGATTATACGGGATTATATGGGATTCTAATAGATATGAAATGGATATGATGTGGATTAATGGATAGCAAAATGGATTACGATGAATATTCATGGAACATATGGGATATGAATATGATACGATGATGGTTATCAATAGTTATTAATGGATGATGATGATGATGGTGATGATGATGATGGTGGTGGTGGTGGTGATGGTGATGGTGATGGTGGTGATGATGATGATGGTGATGATGATGACGATGATGATGGGTATGGAGATGGATAATGGATATTATATGGATGATGATGGATATTATAGTAATTAATGAATATTAAATATTCAGCTAGTAAATGTTATATTTATGGGTTTATGTTGGATGTAATCCATATGTGGCTTCCAGTAGAATAAATATTCTATGGATTTTAATGGGTTATAGTGGATAATATAAAATAGCCTCCACTAAATCAATAGTTCGACCAAGTAGAAAATATATGCCTCATGCGTATATTAATGGATTATACATGGGATTAGTGAATATTAAAATGGATAATATATTGTATATTACAAATGAAAAATATTATAATGTGTGCCTCTGATTAGTGTGAGGGCCCCCGCCCCCTAAACAATTTGAGGATACTCTATAACTCGCACTTTTTTTGCCCCCCCCTCAACATTTTTTTGGTCAATCAACTTAAGAAAGGATTCAAATGTACTTTCACTTGATTTCAATCTACTTTCAATTGATTTCAATTTACTTTTAATTTAATTACTTTCAATTGATTTCAATTTACTTTTAGTTTACTTTCAATTTGCTTTCAATTTACTTTCAATTTACTTTTAATTTACTTTCAATTTACTTTCAATTGATTTCAATTTACTTTTAATTTACTTTCAATTTACTTTCAATTGATTTCAATTTACTTTCGATTTGCTTTCAATTTACTTTCAATTGATTTCAATTTACTTTTAATTTACTTTCAATTTGCTTTCAATTTACTTTCAATTTACTTTTAATTTACTTTCAATTTGCTTTAAATTTACTTTCAATTGATTTCAATTAACTTTTAATTTACTTTCAATTTACTTTCAATTGATTTCAATTTACTTTCAATTTACTTTCAATTTACTTTCAATTGATTTCAATGTACTTTTAATTTACTTTCAATTTGCTTTCAATTTACTTTCAATTTAATTTTTATCTACTTTCAATTTGCTTTAAATTTACTTTCAATTGATTTCAATTTACTTTTAATTTACTTTCAGTTTACTTTCAACTGATTTCAATTTACTTTCAATTGATTTCAATTTACTTTTAATTTACTTTCAATTTTTTTTCACTCCTAAAAGTTGGTGCTCACAATAGAGTACCATCCAAACGAGACATCAATGCCCAAAGGTCTTCAATCTTGAGCTTTGCCGTGTGCCGGTTCCTTCGCGGTCCATTTCCAAGCTTGCCCAAAACTGCTCGACCGTCTAAATTCTGGCCCCATGTTCTGATAGCTGTCTCTACCGTTTTCCCATCCTTGAAACAATCCGCCATCCAGTCAGCAAACTGCGCAGAAGTCGTGTAAGTTGCAATAATGACACTTACAATTTGATCGTGCTTCTCATAGCCATTCTTCTTCATTCTCTGCAACATTTTCTTGCATGCTTGCGTCAACAAATCGACCTTCAACAGACTGCTTGCGGAGGATGCTTTGAAGCACGTGTGGACGAACGATGCTTTCAATACATCTTGCAGCTCAACTCGGCCCTTGGCCCAGGGCACTCGCACAGAGTACACACCCTCCACGTCCAAGTCTGGATGACCTTCGCGTAGGACGATGTGTGCCAGAACAACATCTTCTGGCTGCCTGCCGCGGAATAAGAATTGTCCAGCTATACATATTTCTTCCGCAGTCGGAGCGGTCCCCTGACTGACCCGGTACGCAGCTTTGGCAACCTTCTGGGCCAGGACTTCGCCAGGGTTGTGGACTTTTCTAGTCAGCCTCAAATAATCTGTAAACGTTTTTTCGGGTGTCTTCACATTTCGACCCCGCTTCTGCAAATTGATTACCACATTTCTCTCACGCTTCCGCCTCCGTGTTTTACCCATGTTTCAAATCACATGCAACACGCCCCTCAACAAATACAGGCAACATGTCTTGCGTTTTTATATTTGTCCTAGGACCACGGATGGGAAACGTTGATCAAATGTTTGATTTTAGTGTCTGATTTTATATTCCACGTTGAAGGGTTTCCTGGTGGAAAAAAAAGCACTTGAGTCCAAAAGGCAGCAATCACACCATCAGTATGCCGACAATGCTAGCACTGCCAGTAAAGAGGGCGCTTGTGAGGTGATGGTGATGGCGACGATGATGGTGATGGTATTACAGATATATTGATCGTGGTCATGCTGCTACTGCCGCCGCTGCTCTAATGATATTGATGCTGTTGACGACGCTGTCATGATGCTCATGCTGATTCCGATGGTCATGCTAATGAAGATCCTGCCGGTGATGGTGCTCATGCTGCTGATGCCGATGATGATGCTGCTGCTGATGGTGATAATGATGATCATGATCATGATGATGATGCTGATGATGCTGATGATGATGATGATGATGATGATGATGATGACAACGACAACGCTGATCATGACGATGCTATGATGCTGGTGGTGCTTGCGATGCTGATGCCAAATGCCAATGCTGATGCTGCTGAGATCATTATGATGATGCTGATCATGCTGCTGCTGATCAGGCGGAGGAGGACGAGGAAGAGGAAGATGACGAGGATGATCATAAGCATGAGGATGAGGATGATGATCATGATTATGGACCTCGTGCCGCTGGACAAATTCGCTTCCTGGCAAAATTCCATGACTTTGGCCGAGTCATTGCCTCCATTTCGTGGTTGATCTTTGATTTTCTGCAACGTCTAGATTTCTTCACATGACGTGATCTTCGTCACTCCCTAGGAATCGGGAAGGGCCATAGATCTGATACCAAGGCGCTTTCTTCAGGCACCAATACTCCACCTTCCGCCAAAACATAGAATGTGTCAAAACGAATGCAAAAAAGCGCACTCTCACAGTCCCCTCTTCTGCAAAAAAAATGCATCGGGGATCCAAGAAACGATTTCCAGCATTTGAGGATCTAAACAGATCCCACTGCATCACCAATTGAGTCAGCATAGAATCCCGCGACCTGTCACAAAGGTACAAATTCACGGCCAGGAACCCAGATCAACAGCGAAGGGTGTCCCTGTTAAGGACACAGCCCTGTACAATGCTGCACGCTCGATTGGTCAGCGGAATGTCAAGGGATCGAAATGCCGTTCAGCTACAACCAGATTCCCAGCAACAGCTGTTGCCTTGGACGCCCAACCTGATGACCGTCGTGTCACGAATTAACACAGACTAGCAACTTTACGCTGCTGCCCAGCATGCAACGATTGCAGAGCTCGCTCAGAAAATGTGCTTCTCTTCCACCACCACAACATCCGCCTTCTGGTCCGGCAGATACAGGCAATAATGCTCTTGGTAGCACCAGTAATGCCCACTCTTCTGGTCATTTTCATCTTGGATCTGCAGAGGTTCCAAAGCACAGACCCAGTACATCAGCAAATGAGCTCCGTGCACCAGATCTGGGTCTAAGCATCCTTGCCCATGCATCATGATGGGAATCCCGATCCCGGCCGAATCCACCAGCAGAAACGAGCGCATGCTCGCCCCGGACCGGGCCTGCCGGACAGCACTCAAATGTGTCACATGGCCAGATACCACAGCCACCTCTCCGTCGGTTGCCTCCAACTTGCTAAAATCTCTCAGCACAAACTGCGGCACTGGTGTGATCACCACTCCTGCGGCCCCATGCACTTGCACCGCCGTTTGCTTCGTGCTCTGCAACCGCACCACACGTTGCGGGCGGGCTGCAAGCTCGACTATTTCAGCTCCAACCACATGTACCCTGACAAACTGATCTTCCTCTTCGAAAGGTTTTCGCAGGAGACTTTCCACTTGTTCTGCTGCCGGCGTCCAGAAATTTACCTGGACAACAGCTCCCGCGTCACCGATGATCACTATTGAGTAACTGAGCCACTCATGAGGTACCCCCTTGAAAAACTGTCTGGATGCTGTTTTTTTAATAAGGGTTTAATAAGGCATCTAATTATTTGGGAAACCTTGCATTTTAAAGCTTTAACACAAACATTGCTTTCTAAAGTAAAGGGACCAGCTTTAGCCAAAGAAATGTGGAGAAAGGGTTTTGTGCTTTTTTTCAACCCCAAAAGTGGGTGCTCACAATAGAGTACCATCCAGACAATTATATTATTGAGTAACTGAGCCACTCATGAGGTACCCCCTTGAAAAATTGTCTGGATGCTGTTTTTTAATAATGGTTTAATAAGGATCTAATTATTTTGGAAACCTTGCATTTTAAAGCTTTAACACAACTATGGCTTTCTAAAGTAAAAGGACCAGCTTTACCCAAAGAAAGGTGGAGAAAGGGTCCGAGAAAGGGTTTTGTTTTTTTCACTCCCAAAAGTGGGTGCTCACAATAGAGTACCATCCAGACAATTATATTATTGAGTAACTGAGCCACTCATAGGGTAATATATTAATGAAAAATAAAGCAATTAAAAAAAAATAAGAAAGGAAACAATGAAAAATGAAACAATAGCAAATAAAAATGAAATAAAAATAAAAATAGAACAAAGTAAAAATAAAAAATAAAAATAGATAAACTAAAAATAAAAATAAACTAATTAATTTCAAAAAACAATAAAGCTTTTGGAAAAAAAACTAAAAGTTGACAAAAAAAATCTCACAATAGAGGCTCCCCCCAACAATTAGCATGTTACTGAATTAGGAGCAAGAAATTTCTCACAATAGGGTACCAAGCTTCTAATCAGAGGCAAACATTATGGATAATATGCCGCAAAACGCAAAATGCGGTGTTCCGGAACGCGCGTTCCGAACGCAGGAGGGGTTATGGTTGTTTTTGGCTCCAGAAGCTTCCCAATCCTCCTTAATGCTCCATGCAAAAAGGATCCGCTGTGTCTCACATAGCGATAAAATTTGTGAGAAGTCAGAACCTTTTTCTTCCAGAGAAAAAAAGGATCCGGGAAGGAAACCTAACTTGCCCCCACAAACCTGGTGGCCAGAACCTTTTTTGCTTCAGCCAAAAAAGGATCCGGAGTTGGGAAGATCAATTTTCTGGTGGTTTCATCCACCATTTTGAGCCCATAAGAGCTCTCGAAATCCTTTTTTATTTAGGGGAAAAAGGTTTCAGTGTCTAGGCCCAGGATATACATTAACTTTGGGTTAATGGAAAAGGATCCACTCAGAACGCACGTTCCGGAACGCGAGTTTTTAAAACGCGCGTTGTGAACGCCAAACCGTACCGAAGGAACATGCTAAGGTATATTATAATGGATATTAAAATCGGGTATATATATATATACGCGCAACGCCTGGGCTTTGCCCAGGCGTTGCAGCGTAGAGGTTTCCCATTCCCAAACAAATGTTGATGCAACTTCACAAAATCCTATGGGAATTAGGGAATATTAAACTCCCACCCCTGTTAAACTTCTAAAGGTCATCTTGGACAAATTTAAAAAAAACTACTGTAATCAAAATGAAAACCTATCTGCTGAGATAATTTTAGAATAAATAAAAACTTGAAGCCAACGTTTTTTCAGCCATTTTTTGGCTCAAAACCATTGTCTTGAGCTCTTAGGTTTGCATCTCAGTGCACCAGACGGGGATCTGGAACTCGGCCTCCGGCCCATGAATTCGGGATGCCCACTTGCAGCCACTGTCTTTCCCACCTTTTTTGCTCCGTTTTCGTTGGGCAAGAGCTGCTCCGCGTGGCCCGTTCACGTTTGCTGACTGCGATCGCCTGCAGCGCGGCTCGCCCAGCTTCGCGCCTGCAATTCTCCGAGCCATACGCCATAACTTCATAGGTTGATCGGGCATCATTTTAGGTTTTTCCAGGCAGGGATCACTTACTATATTTGCTGGGTGCAACGAACTGGCGGCTCCTTCAACAGGGAGCCCGAATCCCATGAAACTTCTACATTCGTTGAAGATCTTCGATAAGGGTTTAATTCTCCCACCCCCGTTACACTTCTACATTCATTAAAGATCTTCAATAAGGGTTTCATTCTCCCACCCCCGTTAAACTTCTACATTCATTGAAGACTTTCAGTAAGGGTTTGATGATGATGATGATGATGCGTTGCCTGTCGTGGTTGCGGTTCCGGGCAAAGCCCAAGCATTTGCCGTATATATGTATATGTATATATATATATATATGCCTCCACTAATTAATACAGCCCGACATAGTTCGACTCTTCCACCCTTTTTCACCATGGCCAGGGTCGAAGTGGAAACTCATCTTCCAAGGCTCTATTTGGCAGGGATGATCTTAATCTACTGGAAAGTACCCTCTGGGAAATTTCACATAGCTATTGAATCGAATGTGGCGACAGAAATAGTTGATTTACCCACTATAAATTGGTGATTTCCTACAGCTATGTATGTTAATTTACCAGATAGGATGTTACAATATGTCTATTAAAAGGATGTTACAGTATATATATATAGCTCTATTACTATATTGATTTTCTACAGCTATGCATTTCTACAGCTATGTATGTTGATTAATAATACGATATCATTATATAATATTTGGAGGATGGTCCCACGAATCGTAAGTGGCTGGGTTGACCCATGGAAAAAATGTCCCTGATGCGTCCGGTTATCCCATATAAAGATAGGATATTTTTACCTCACTTACTATGCAATTGTTAAGTGAGATTATCCTCCAAGTATACAATGACCAAAAATAATAGTTCTATACCGCTATATATATATGGGGATATATATATAATTATATATACACATGGTTAGTCACCTGTTGGAATTCGGAATCGGGGGGTATATACTAACCAACCATAGATGTTGTATACTGAGGATGTATAGCATCAACAAATATCAACAAATATCAACACACATATCAACAATTTATATGCGATTTGGGTGTGTCTGGAAATGGTCGTTTTATCACAACATAGGGAATCAATTGGGGAAAGGATAGCGGCAGTCATATGCAACCCGGCCTCATCCATAAGTCTTGCAGGTGAATGGCACGTTCACCCATATCCCATATGCTCCATGTATGGAATATTTACCAACATTAGCCCTAAAAATCACCCAAATGTAGGTAAATATACCATACATGGAGCATATGGGTATGTCCTATTTTACACTTTAGTTTACATGGGGCTTGCGTGTCCTTACGTTTCCCAAAGTTTTCCTATCAGGAAGTTGTTGTTGCATGCAATTTGGCTCACACCCCCTTATGGCTGATCTGAGCCAACGAGCCTACAGAAAATGACAAGAGCCATGCCCACCCAAAACAAAGACCCTGCTGATTAAGATCTATGTCTGCAACATGCTTTTTGGTAGAGATATCATGATATCTTGCTTGAATGATCATGCAGTAGTTGGCTTCATGAACACATATCACTTGGATTTGCCCAACAAGTCCCCGCGAAAAATATGAAACTATTCCCAGTAAGTTCAGTTGCCATGGTGAAATAATCACATCTCAGCAAACCCACAGTCAAAGCCCTTTTCCAGTTATAAATGGTTCTAAATCAGGTTATAACTGACCATAAATGGGATAATTAATAAGCCTGACTTATAATTGGTAAAGGGCCATAACCGTAGGATTACTGGTAGAAGCCCATATTCCAATCCCTTTGGTGCTTCGCTCCAAGGCACAAGTTGTCAATCACGCCATGCCGCGCTGAGAGCCTGTCCGTCGACGATGGATTGTCCATGATTGTTCTGTGAAGTAAAGGGGCGAAAAAGTGTGTGTCTGAAAATGAGGGTATACCCCTAAATAGGACTTTAAAATAGGAACGTGATAATAAACCATCGGATGTTTAGGTACCTTTCAAGACCAATCCACATGTGACCATCAAATCGGCGGGGTTCAGGGTTCTTCCGCATCAATTTTCCGCTTCACCAAGTCTGGGATTGGATTCAGCAAATTTCCCGGGGGAAGAGTTTCATGAACTTTCAAATACATACAGTCATCAAAGATCCAAGTAGGACTACGATCATGTTTATCTGAGTATTGAAGCATCGAATTTGTGGTCAACGTATTTAGCCAAAAACCCATGGTTCTCCATGCTAATCAGCAACGATTAGATGGATTGAATTGAACAAGTCCACCCACAGTTATGGCAATTTATTAGTTATAACTGGTTATCACTGGTTATTTCAATGGGATGATACATGACATAAATATACATAAATGGGGTTAGGTCAGTACTTATAACTGGTATAACTCGGGCCATACCGGCACCAAAAAAAAGTCCACTATCTATACTCCAAAGGTCCGCATCCCTTTTTTCTGCGAGAATCACGGTGAGGAAAGCCGCCGAGAAACTCATGTCAATTTCTACATGAAAACATCATTGGGATTGTTTCAGTATAGGCTAGTGTACTCCAGAATGGATGGATCATCATGAAAAAATCACAAAAAATGCGCGGTATGCGGCGGTGCGCTCTAATTAGATACTTAGTGGCTTATAATCCCAGTTATAACTGTCCCAAACGCACTTACTCTGCTTGTAACCGAGGTTACTACCCACTTACACACTTTACATCCCATCAAAATCCTATTAAATCCGTGAAACCTCTGTGTAATTCCCACTTTCCCAAAATAACTATGACCATAATTAAGTGTTTAACTGGGGTGAACCAACAATTATTCCCCATGTTCAGATCTCCCAGTGAACCGCCTCCCAGTGGTGCAAAAGAAGCGCTCAGGAGGCAGAAATGGAACTGGATCTACAAAAGCAGAATCAGGATGTGGCAAACGATCGTGGAAAAGTTCATACCTCGGACAAAACAACGAAAAAAAGGTGGAACATGTGGACATCAAAGGATATATATATACACATATATATATATATGTGTATATATATATATTATACATATATATATATATACATATATATGTATGTATATATATATATGTATAATATATATATATATCATTATAACCAACGTTAAATATCTTTAGACTCATGTGGATGTTGTAATGAATGGCCAACTGAAAAGCTGTGACCTACTGGCACCTCCATGCGCTGAAAACAATGCCATTAAAACAATGTCATAAACCACCCATGACTGGGAATGGTTTTTAGCACCTATTTATGGTGATGACTGGGGGATGGTTTATGACATTGCTTTAACCACATTAATCATTGGCTAATCATCAACTTGGCAGAACAAGCAAGGGAACCATCCAAAACAAGGAAAAAAAAGGGTCCTAAACAAAGACTAGGATACTAGGTCCTAAACAAACAACAACCTGCTGAGAAAGAACGAGACCTACGGCAATTGCTTGGCTGCTACGCTTCCATCCCTTTAAACCAGCTGAGTGCAAATTTACCCGGAAAGAGGCTATCTTTTAGTGGGAAACGGATGATAACGCTTTTATTTTTGGGTATCTTATTTTCAGAGGAACCCATACATATATAATTTCTATTTTATAGATATTCATCCCCAACCCATCATGGTGCAGTACTGTTCGGAATGTTGCGGGTATCTCTTGAGAGGATGTCCCAGTTGCGGGTGCGCCTGATGGAAAGCATCAACAAGGTGTGGCCGAAAAGAACGAGCCCCCGTTCAAGAAACAACGGAGATCACCTTTGAATATGAGTCAAAACCCTTCAAAACCCTTCCGTTCACTGAAAAATCGCTGCAATTCAGGGATCTTCATCCCTTCAATACGGGGTTGTCTGAACATGTTTCCCAAGTGCCATGGATTCCCATCATTGTCCCCCTTGGGCACTTAAGCGCCAAAAACTGCTCAGCATTGTTATTGATGAACTCACCATTTCGATGTGGGAACACAATGATTTCGTTCACAACAATACCCTCTGGTAAACTATCACATAACTATGGAAAATCACCATTTTTAGTGGGAGAACTCACTATTTCGACTGGGCCATTTTTAATAGCTATGTGAGTTTACCAGAGGGTAAACCAAATGCAATTTTATCTAATAATGTTCCAAGGGGATTTCAGCGATGATCTCACCAATAAGAATTTCCCAGTGATGAGGCCCCTGCTGGACAAAGCCTGGTATTGACTGGTTGGTTTATAAAACCCTAATGAACTACTAGATTATATATTTACACAACATATATTTTTATAAAAGTATTATAAAACATTATATATATATACTAATATTATGTATTATATATATAATTATATATACATGTATGTATCCATAAATGGGGGGTACCCCCCAAATCATCTCAACTTGGACCATGACTTCGTATTGGGAAACTCATGGGGATCCCCGATTGAAAAGGAAACGACCAAAAATCTGAGCCACCTCAGTGGGAATGGCCGGAATTACAAGAGCCCCCCTAAAACATAACTCATGTTCAATTGGAGGATTCCATACATGGGGGATCCCTAATAGCTGGATGGTTTATAATGGAAAATCCTATTACTGTAAAATAGATGATTTAGGGGTACCCCCATTTTAGGAAACCACCAATTAAGCCATGATCTAACAAATAGTCGCTCAAATCGAAGAAATCACCATTTTCCCATTGGTTTTCCCATGGTTTCGTCCTAGGTTTCCACTGGTTTTCCCATGGTTTTCCTGCTTAAAACACGGGCTCCACGGCATCGCAAGCAGGCGGCGCAAACCACCAGCGCCGGCCCAGCTTGCTGCCTCCGGACCACTTGGAGGCTCCAGCCCCAACCCTTCGGTATCAAATGGTGTTTGGTTAACATCCCCATTGTTACAATGTGAGGCCCCCCAGTGATGTTTGTTGGTTAACAAAAGCCCCAGTAACTATAGTTATAAGTACCATAAACCATAGTTATTGGAGTTATAACTGGTTGGTGGTTTCAACCCTCTGCAAAAATATGAAAGTCAGTTGGGATCACTATTCCCAACTGAATGGAAAGTCATAAAATTCATGTTCCAAACCACCAACCAGCCATTGTTATTGATGAAGCCACCATCTCTACGGGAACATCAGAATTTCGTTAACCCGAAATGCAAACTTATCCAATCATGTTCCAAGGGGATGTCGACAATTATTTCAAAAATAAGAATGTTCACCACTATCAGTGCCAATCTTAGATACCATGCAAAGAATGAAGTTCTTGGCTGGTGAACGTAGATAATCCCACTGATACCAAAAGACTAAAGGATTAGTTTCTACCCACCTAAGATTGACCTAGAAAAGATGGTCCGGAGGTTTATAGGTGGAAAATTAATCGAACTAAATGGAGGTCTATGGTTGGGAAAATCATGGAACTAAATGGAGGTTTATAGCTGGGAGACTGAATGAAACTCATCTGGAAAAAATGAAAATTGTTAATACAAAACCACATCAAACTAAATGGGTGTTTTTCCAGCAAACCATGTTTGATTATGGGAGAAATGCAACTGTAAAATAAACAACAAACAAACAACCAACCAACCAAACAAAGAAACACCATTTCCCTCTGGTTGTGGCAATGATTCTGACAACCCCGACCCTATTATGATCCATGGGTATGGACTGAACCACTTAAATATTCGATATACCCTACAACATGGTGCCCACAAAAAATAGAAGTTGGTTTAGCTTCAGATCATGACAACTAGTTCGATATATATATATAATTATATATACCCTAAACCATACTGAAGCTATACGGCAAATCAACCAACTTTTCTACAGGGCACCACAAAAGATACGGTAGGATTAGATTGGTCACTCCGGTGGAGATCTGGAGTTGGATTGTAGGTTTTAACCCTCTGGTAAACTAACATGACTATGGAAAATGGCCATAGAAATGGTTGATTTACCTAGTAAAAATGGTGATTTTCCATAGTCATGTTAGTTTACCAGAGGGTAACCCAAAGTAGACCAGTTATAGTTGCCCACTAAGGATTTGCGGACTTCCAGGGTTGAAGGGAGGGAAACTGGATCTGGGAAAAACCTTATTGAACCCCGACCGATTTCGCATATCTTTTGCCGTCCTATCATTAAAAAATGTTGAAAACGAGCAGCAAGTGGCAAGGTTTCAGTTGTTTGTTGGTAGCGCATATGTTTCTTAAGTTCATTATTATTTTATAAAGGTAGCAAACTTCCTCGGCCCCTTACCAACATACCTCTTGGCAATCCCTGCAACTATGGTTATAATCATTCCCGAAAAGATAGAAAAGTCAATCCCCTTTACCCCATTTCAGACTACGCTCTGGTTATTTATCATAGCTATTGAACATGGCCCATTTATAGATGATACCCATGATTTACGGAACTTAAATCCTATAAATGGTGATTTCCCACAGCTATGTTAACCCCTCATTTTCCACGCTCTTCCCACGACTGACATGTCGACAGTTTTACGACCTTCGGGAAGTGCTTGGAGGATAGCAGCTGCGACTGCTTCCTTTGCCTCGTTGCAGTTTTGGTGGCTTCACCCCATGGAATTGAGCAGTTCAACTTGAACAAAAGCGTGAAATCCTAAGAACATGCTGATGTAATTGTACACAATCAACATGAAGACTTATAGGTGATCTACGATTGATATGATATTGATTGTTATTATGTTGGTGTACACGACTAACATGTCACCAGGGTTGATGGTAGATATATCCAACTACCCGTATAACATGATGTAAACCAACTCAAATAGCTGGGGTGAACCCCCCAATACCATATCTTACGCATGGGCTGCACCGGGGGTTGTACGTGGATAGATTTCATCCGGAAAATGATATACAAATGCTGGATTTTCCAAAACTATGTAAATCTTTATTCCAGAGTTTGTAAACCAAGAAACATGTCATGTTTGGCCCCCCACCTGATAACTCTGATCTACTCTCACGGGTGCTTGGACCCTGATCACGGCCCCTTTTAAAGGGTGTTGGTCACAACCAGACTACTTTAGATAAAAATAAATACCAAACCTGCATCCAAAGACATCTTCAGGAAATTTCACCTACCACATCAGCCGTTGTCAAAATGTTTCATCCACAACCATTTTGTGCGGGTCCTACAAAGGCATATTTCAATTAGTTCCTATCCTGAATCAAACGCAGATCCATCAACTGGTTGATGGCTTCAACCTCCTGAAAATTCACAGTAAATCCAGCTATGGCAACTGTGGGGATCATCACCCAGGGATGCAAATGAAACAAGATTTCAAAGCACCAGCCGATTAAGTAATCCCATCACCCAAATATTTTGAACACCCCAATTGCATGGTCCCATGGAATGTGGAATTTCCCTACTAAATCATGGTTTCAAACGGGGTGTTTAATATTAGGGGGAAGGGATTATATTTTACAACTTATAACGCCTAAAAGTTTCCTGATTTGGCACGGCTAACCCCCTGAACTATCCCTAATAGATCAATGTGAATAGTAAAAGGAGACCTCACAAAAATAGGTAAGTTGGTTTTCAAACCCCATCCAACATCATTATATGGTTACAATAATTCATGAGAATTGAATAGCTACCAAAATAATCTCCCTATCATCTGTCATTACAGTATGGGTCTACCAGATTCTCAAGAACCAGTACTACCACTATATACTACTATATACTACTATGTACTCCTATGCACTACTATATACTACTATATACTACTATGTACTCCTATGTACTCCTATGTACTCCTATGTACTCCTATGTACTGCTATGTACTACTATGTACTACTATGTACTACTATGCACTACAATGGACTACTATGTACTCCTATGTACTACTATGTACTACTATGTACTACTATGTACTACTATGTACTACTATGTACTACTATGTACTCCTATGTACTCCTATGTACTGCTATGTACTACTATGTACTACTATGTACTACTATGCACTACAATGGACTACTATGTACTACCATGTACTACTATGTACTACTATGTACTACTATGTACTACTACTACTACTACTGCTACTACTACTACTACTACCACTACTACTGCTACTACTATGTACTACTATGTACTACTATGTACTACTATGTACTACTATGTACTACTATGTACTACTATGTACTACTATGTACTACCATGTACTACCATGTACTACTATGTACTACTATGTACTACTATGTACTACTACTACTACTACTACTGCTACTACTACTACTACCACTACTACTGCTACTACTAATTATGATAATAGTAATCAACAAATACAAAAAAATGATAATAGAAACGATCAACATCATCATCATCATCATCATCATCTTCATCATCTTCATCTTCACCTTCATCATCTTCATGTCTACAGATAAATTACTAAATTAGATATCTCCATCAGAAACCCATCATTCACCCTGGTCAACCTTCGGGTCTCCGCCTCCGGATGCTGCCCGAGGGTTGAAAGGAAGGGAAACCATGGGAACTCGTGTGCCACGGCATAACCTAGGATCGCCAATCGCTGGAGTGTAGCTGGTTTTATGGCCTGGGAAATCCACGAAGGAAATGGAGGTTTAGGGCTGGGAACACATCCCATAAAGAGGACATGCAGCCAGCCACGTTTTTTTTGTACCGGAGGCTATACCTGTCCTGGTGCTCACAGAATATACCATGTGGGGCTCGCGTTTACGATAGCGAACGTTGGTTCTGCACATAACTTCTTTAACTGTTGGGCTTTATGGGGGATAAAACATGATATACCGAACTAGTGAATGGAATTTATGATGATTTCCATAACAACTTAGAACTTGGGGGCCTCACATTGTAGGACTAATGGCCCTAACTGGGGAAGACAACATACCCATATATGGGGCCGGTCAAAGGCCCTAATGATTGCCTTGGAATTACATTCATTGCTTGGCAGCAAAGTCACCAACTTGACGAGTCCAGGAAATATTGGGATCGTCGCCCACATCGCTTGTGGTGACATCGTTATTCCCTGCATTCCATCGCACTAAAAACTCCGTTGTATCCCCGTTCTGTCTGCGTTTGGCCCATATTGTTTACCCAGCTTTGGGTTAATCCTCCCCCAAAGTGGCAATTTTCAGATAAGCCACTGGATTTTGGGGTATTTCTTTTCTTCTTTGAATCGCACTTATTACCTCCAATAAACCAGGTAATGTAAATCCCTTTGGAATCATGAATGTTTATTCAGTACCCTGATTCTGATCCTAAATCATCTTAAATATATCTAAGATCCAAAATGTGGGTCATGTCTCCAAAATGGGCCATACTCAACGACTACCGCTTTAAAATCATTAGGATTCCCAGGCACCTCCGGGACAAAACAGAGACGTCCGAGGAACTGCAGCGGGCTGCGACGCTATCGTCTGGTTGCAACAGTTCCTGGGATCATGTCGAGATGTTTAAGAGCAAACCCGTTTCTGGGTCTATGCGCTTCAAGCCCTGTACCAATTATCATACATATATATATATATAAATGGGTGATTTCTCCATAAATGAGGTGACATTCTGACTTTAAAACTGGGAAAGGGCCATAACTGTGTGAACTCCCTCAAACCGATTGGATTGGAATCGTTCGTTTCTATTCGCTAAGAAGAAGCTACCTGGATAGCTGTAGTTGCCTATTGTTTCCGGCTACTTCGGCCTAATAGCCCATTTTTGTGGCACTTTGCAATTCTCACACCAAAAAAAGGCATTTCATCTTTTGCTGCAAAAATGACCGTAAAAGTAAAAGTGCCGTAAATATCCGTAAAGTGCCATGAATACCCGTAGAAATCCTACTCCTAAAATGGTACACTTTCCAGTGACCAAATTGTTGGACACTTTGGAAAGTGCGCAAGACAATGGGCACTAGACTTTCCAGGTAGACCCTAACAATAAAACACCATCACCCCGGTAAGCTTCTGTTCAATTCAAAAAAACAATGGCATAGTGGATGTTCGTCCCCAAAAATGTACGTTTGGACCCATCTCCATTTACGCATGAGAAAACCAGGGACACATGTTATCAGACCTTAGTTGGTTTGTAAGCCCCAATAACCATAGCTATAAATCTCATAAACCATAGTTATTGGACTTATTGGAGTAATATAAACCATTTTAGCTATCTAGGGAAACATATTTAACGTGGACATTTCTCTTAGTATCATCCCCTCTGGTTGGTCAGAAAAAGGTTTCCCACGTCCTGGGTCCTACTAGTCCCTGTTTTCCCCCAGGCTTTCAAGCGCATTTTATCAATCTTGGATACGGTGCAAGAATAACGTTTCAGCTCGTATACCCATTAAAAAAAATATATATATATATATCATCAAAATGGCAAAAGAATCAGTTGTACTAATTTCACCTATCCAGCCGGTGTACCAAAACTGGATCCTGAATTTTACTGGGTAAATCACCATTCATTGATATTCATTGTCACTAATTCGCCTTTAAAGAGATCATCTTTACTGGTGAAATCATAATGCATACCAGCATTTTCCCAATGAATCAGACTGAAAATCAAAATTTTCTCAACATTCTTCCCAGTTTTTTTCAATGACCATTATATAAGGACTAAATTTCAGGAAATATCCCCACAAAATATGGCCAGAAATATGGTACAGTACCTCCATTCTAGGATCCTGAAATTCCTATTGATTTTTCCCATGATTTTCCGGATGATTTCCCCATGATTTCGCCATGGGATTACCCAGGCTCGCTGCGTGGTTCTTTGACGCAGCTCCGCAACATCTCATGGACGTCCGCCACAGACCGGGCGTGGAGCCCGAAAGGTTTGGGCATGGGAAGATACCTGCAGCGCCCGCAACAGTTTTTTCAACGGGATGAAAAAACTCCTACCCATATGCTCCATGTGCGGTAAATTTACCTACATTTGGGTGATTTCTAGGGTAAATGTTGGTAGTATTGTTATATATGGAAACATCCCTAGTTGGTGGTTTTAACCATCTTGAAAACTATGACTTCGTCAGTTGGGAGTATGACATTCCCAATATATGGAAATATAAATATAATGCTCCAAACCACCAAACAGGGATGAAATAACTCCTATAAGAAAGTATACATATCATGAAATAATCCCAGTTATACCTGTTGAGGACCATAATAGTGGCAAAAAATCCGACTTCGATCCGAAAAATGGCATAGCTGGTTCTGTTTTTTTGAAAACGTGGCGAGCTGGAAACTCCCAAAAATATAAACACGAAGGTTTATAGATGGGAAAATCATCTATGGAAATCCGAATGGGAAAAATCATCTAAGAATGGTGGACTTTCTAGTCCACGATTCCCAGAGGGTATCCTACAATTCAACACCCTGCCATGACTTGGGGGTTGGAAGATTCATGACATCCACGGCTATGTTCAGGATGGAACTGATAATTTGGTGGAGGGGAATTGGGTGGTTTATGGTAGATATTTCCAGCTAGTTAATGTGGTTTATAGACCCATCTAGCTGCTGATTTAACCAGCAATCACAAGACTTAGCAAAAAAAAACTATGTATCTATATGTCAGTCATTGGGGATCATCTTCCCAAATATGGTTGAAAATATGTTTGCTGTTGCTTTTGGTTAAACAATAATATAATTGAACCCACTAACCGGGTGAGTACAGGCTTACATATCACCATCCACATACTTCCTGAGAAGGTACATACTGTATAATCATGTATACCCAGGACCTCATGGGGCAAATTTAATTTTAAGATACGGAAACACTAAGTTTAACCATGGTGGGTTTTCCTTTTCTCCCCCTGGCATCATCTGTTAAGCCGGAGTGTAGTGCTGGACGACTCATGCGCAGCAGTGTATTGGGTGGAAAAACTGACATACATGGACTTTGATAAAATCCCTGAACATCAACGGGTCCTAGACGGAACCCCCAAAACATCTTCGCATGAAATGCCCATGAAGTTGCCCGTGAAGAACTAAGTTTATCCTGGCGCTCCGCTTGAATTGGCACCCCGCAAACCCCATGTCTGCAATCGGATTTTTGATCCCAAAACTTTCAGCGGTGCAAAGTACTTAGACCCAAAGCAACCAAACCCAGGACACACACAATTTGCCTGCAAAAAAACAAAACCATTGACCCTGGATAAATTTTGTATTTCATTTGTTTAAATGCAAAACTAAATTTCGACGTGGGAAGGTCTGGGTATATAAATATATATATATAGATAAAAAAATAAATACTAATACAAATATTTACAACACCCTCCAAATCATATCTGAAAATGGGTAGGATGGTGTCTTTCCACACCATCCAACCACCCCATGCTTGGCTGGATGTGCATCCCGATTGGTTCATAACCCATACGGTTTTGTTCGAAAACAAACACAATGCTATGTTAATCGGAAATTGTCATTAGCCATCACATTTTTGGGGTACCATATTTCTAGACAGACACACATGCAAATGGGTATATTCCACATACATCTATATATAGCTTATCACATTCTTCTCAGGAGGGCAAAGACATGAAGGTTTGGGTTTGTTGGACCCACAGAACGGTCCTGGACTCAACATGTATGTCCATCATAAAACAAGCCAACAGGCAATGGTCAATGCGGGGCCCCATTGATAAGCAGTTTGTTTTACAACTATGATTTAACTAGCAGTATTTGTCACCTGTACTTTTACAAACGGGGTTATGGAGGAACACCATACATGGACTTAAAAACTGTGTATGTATGTATGTATGTATGCATGCATGTAAGTATGTAAGTAAGTGTGTAAGTAAGTATGTAAGTCTGCAAGTATGGAAGTATGTATGTATGTATGTATGTAAGTATGTATGTATGTATGTACGTATGTACGTATGTCTACCGTTTTCAAGGTGTTCTTCGCTTCATTGTGGTGTGAAAGCTACCATGACATCATGGAGAAATGATCGGGTGTCCGATTCGGCATCCGGTCAACATTTCAAAGTCATCAAACTTGCTGGTTTCTTGGTCACGGGTGTGTCTGAAAATAAGGGGTATACATCACAATGGCAACTTAATTCCGGGAAATGATGATAAACGTTGCTAAACTATCATTCTTTTGGGGGTGCTCCGAGTTCTCCAAGGTGATGCCGCGCCACTTCAGTTCAAGGCTTGGCTTGGAACCCCGGCGCTGCGGCATTGCTGCACCATCACTTGCCAACTTGGTACTCAGAAGATTGCAGCCTCCACGCCCTGTCAACAGCTCTGTGGCAAACGTCTCTCGGTGTCAAGCGTCTTGCCTTCATATACACAATCTTTAGTTAATCCCTGTGTTGGTTCTGAAAGCTCTGAATCGGGCAACAGTTCTACGCCCATCATCGCCTATTGGCAGCCAAGGGACACATCGTTGCGCGCGGCCAATTGGCCGATACCCAGCAGGGTCTTCTGACTTTCCTGGATTGATTGGCCCTTTACTAGTTATGGCTGTCAACTATAACCCTATTTATGGAATGATATGTCCATTTAAACTGGTAAAGCCCATAACTGGCTCATAACTGTGATTGATTGGTTGAATCGGAAAAAACTTAAGCCGAAACCATGGTTCGATTATCTGTTCGATTTACTGTTCAACATATTCAGTTCGACATCTAATGGGTAATGTTGGGAAAACGCTATGTCCTATATACAGGATTGATGCGTTTTCCTTTTGAGGGACTTCAACCGTGAATTTCCAGTTCAAAGATTGATGGTCCTCGAGAATATGATTTGGTCGCTCTTGGTTCCTTTTTTTCGTGGGTCCTGTGCATAAAAGAAATGTTCCAAGAACTTGGCCCAAAAACACGCAACAAATTGAATGATGATCCGACGTCTCGTCCCGGTGGCCATTTTGACATAAGCCGTTCGTGTAACTTTGGTCATAAAAGGTTGGCTCTTTGTGGAAAATAGCTGAATAGGACCCATTCTTCTGATGAGACCTCCACGTTCCAAAAACAAATCTGTGATCTGGAGTTGAAAGGCTATATACATCTATATACATCTATATACAGTATTTTTGGGGGGGCTCTGAATAGAATGTTAGTGAGTATGATATGGTATGAGTTCAAATTTAAGACTCAGCAAACCATAGATGTTGGTCTTTTGCTTGACTTTAGACATCCGATTTTGGGTGGCCCATATCTATCATATAGTGTTTTGTTCAGTTCTGGAAAAATGAACTTAATGTTGTTGTCTTTAAGACTTCTATTGGAGCTGGTGCTGAGATGCCGCCTGAGAATTAGATATGTACAAGTTTCGTGCCCCCCTTTATGTTAGTTTAGTTTGTTTATTTACATCCCATCATCTGTTAACCAACTACCGTAGTGGGGGTGAAACTATAAGATAACTATGTCCATCACAACAAGCATAATGGATCATTAATTAGCCATCAGCCATCAGCCATCCAAAAAAAATGCCGAAAAGTGTTTCCAGAAGGTTATACATGATATATCATGATATTTAATACACACTGTGGATGGTAATCCTGCGCCAGTTGGTAGATGCCAAATATCCCAACTTTTTTTCTTGCCAAATGGTGCAGGATTTCCATCGTCCACAGTTATTTTTGTCCAGGTTCCCACTTTTCAGCATTGTTGTTGAGCGTTGCTATAATAATCAACTTAGCCAAGGGGGTATAGCTATAAGCCATGAAGATAGCGCCGCCTCGTGCATCTCATTTACATGGCTTATAGCGTATGTTGTAGTAGTGAACTACGCAGGAATCGTAAGTAGCCAGGGTGTTTTCACCACATTTGGCAACTATATAAGTAGGCTTCGTGAAACTATTTGCTCAATGGGAAGTAAGAAAACTCACTGGGGTACAGCAGCAACCATTCATCTCAAGTCACCGATCGGATTGCTCGCACAAGCAAATGTTTGTGGAATCATGCCCAATCTTGAGCAAAACTCAGAACAAATTGCAACAAAGTCAAGGTGCTTTTGTCCAAGAGTGGTGATTTCATCCTCCAAATATAGCAACTTTACCGAAGAAATCATTTTTCTTTCTTAGAATTTCAGGTACCAAACCAAAAACTTCCCGTAAGTTCATGCTCAGTCAGTAAGTCACTTCATTATGGTCAGTTTTAACTCACAACCCCATTCCCTTTTCCTACTTAATTCCAGTCAGCGGCTGTCAGGGCATTGCGCAAAGGCGCAACCTGCAAGTCCTGACGTGGTTCAGATCCCAAAAACACCGAGGTCAACCATCAGATCCACATATCACTGGGATTTTCTTCAGATGGTATCCGAAAATGTGAACACATTACCAGTAGATTCCCCAATTAGAGGATTGAGCACTGGGAAAATGCCCAAAGATGAACCACTCAGCAAATCTAAGTAGTGATCGGTAACTAAGGGTGGTGCCCCCCCACTTCGAATTTTGTTTACAGTTCCGATGAATAATCCATAGTTAACTAGTATACTAGATATGATCACCAACTTAGCTATCGTTGGGGGTAGCACCGCATATATATATAAATATATATTATAGTTACATCTGTACATTATGTATAATTATATTATATATACACATATGGAACATATGAAACAAATTGAATGATGAGTAGCAAGGGGAGGATGACTCCCCAGCCATGGCCGCATGGTGACAGATAGTGAATTACTACAATTCAGCCATATATGACTTATCCTTGGGTAATCAAATTAATAGTTTGACCCTGCCATGACTTGGGGGTTGAAAGATTAGTTTTCACCAAACATGAATAATTCGAGAGCTCTATGTTGACTGAGGAAAGGGTATATGTTTTTGTTTGGAACACTGTAGGACAAGGACAAACCGAAACTGCTATGACGGTAAAAAAAAACATGGGATACAATTGGATGTTTCATACACTTATGGCCCTGGCCTAACAGTTATGCATGGGATGAACCAACTCCTAAAACTAGTTGGTTGTATAGCATGAAATACTCCCAGCTTTTGGGCCGTATATATATATATACATACATACATACACTGTAGGGGACACCTCCCGCCCCAGGAACGCTCTCCGTGTAGGACCGGCACTGCTTCGAAAACACGCGGGGCCAGCGGTAAAGTCTTCCCCAGGGCCATCGCCGGCGCATGGCCACACAGAGAGGATAAACCCTGGGGGCCGAAATATGGTTGTTAAGTACAGTACCTATGTTGGTAGTAATATGATATCTATAGATATACATAATATAAATATCTATTTATACACGGAGATTATAATTCTTTGGGTTTTAGGGATAATGTGTTAGGTTTGAAGAATTATTTTTACATGATTATTCAATAAACTGAAATATACTGGGTCGTTATATATCTATGTAGTTGAACTATAATTTCAAAGTTTGACCAAATGACTGACATGGCTGGTATGATGAGGGTTGGGTCCGAATTGGGTACCAAAAAGGGGGGACTTGCTGTTGCACTTCCACCAATAAGCAGTCAGAAAACCATGGTTATAAGAGTTATATCCTAACTTCGGGGTTCTTACCATGGCTATCACGATTACCACCCCCAATTGAATTGCACCCCCACGAGTAAGTTACTACTATAGAATGGCAGGTCCATATGTGCTGTGAGCCTTCAATCTTGACCAAGTACCGTGGGGAGCCGGAGCCGGCTGCACGGTTCCACTTCTCAGAGCATGGGCAAGACATGGTAGATGCCCCACTGGGTGATCAACAAGGTCACAGATTGAGGGTTCCTAGTCATGGAGATACCCCATCCAAATCATCTGGGTCATTTGGATCGTTTTAGTCTTGAAAGCCGTGGTTTTGAGGATCTCCTTTTCATAGCTGTTACAGAAAATCGAGGAATGTGGGACAGTCATTCACAAATCGAATCTCTCTGATTCATTCGAGCTTGGGGAGCTCCCTCTTCGCAATGTACCCGCTAGTATATTCAAACATCGTTTGGACGGAAAGCCCCAATATCCAAGAAGAGAAATCATCCATAAATGAACAATGCACCAGGGATGTCCTATATCAGATGGGTTTAAGGGAAACATCACAGGCACCCAAAAAATAGTTGGGGAAAACCCTGGTTACCTGTCAATCTCCCCATTCAGTGACTATAGCCAGAATGGCCTGGGGTAGAGATTTGTGGACGTCACCCGTGGGGAAATGACTCAAAAGCACCTGTTTTTGAAACATAGCCTTTGCTAAGGGAAAACACTTTGCGAACTGGAAAATCACCACTGTTAAGTTCGGCAAATCATCCATACTGTACATGTGCCATTCCGCATTGTGTGGCTCCGTCAGCTCATCAATGTATTTCCTGACCCATCCCCCACAGTCTTCAGTAAGTCACCTGATCTATGGTCAGTTGCATACAATCCCATGGATAACCATAAACAAATCTCACTTTAGGGCTTTAAGTGTTCATGTTCCATGAAAATCCATAGGTGGAGTTAAAGCTGCCTTATAACTTATAACTGATAATCAACCGGTATTTCGGGCCATAACTGTAATCCATCCCATACAGTCTTCCATACACGTAAACATGCCAAAGTTGAGAGAATCTCTATAGCAATCGCCACTATACTATACTAATTGGAAAAGTTGGTGCTCATAACTTGGTTTAAGAGGGACAAATATAAATATAATATGTATATATATTTAAATATAAATTACACATGATATAAAACATTATATAGCACACACACTATATACACATATGTGTATATATATATATGTACATAATAAAACATAGGGGGTTAACTACATATATCATTTGGCTTTTTGTGAAGCAACAAACGTTTCACTGGCGGACCACCTCACACATCCTCCACGATGGCCCCCCAAACAAAAAAGTAGGTTGGTTTTAGGACTTTGCTAGTGATACATTCACCTAATCAATGGTTAATATATGGTTATTATATGTTTTTATATGGTTAATGATGGTTAATAATAATCTGGTTGGTGGTTGACCTACCCCTCTGAAAAACATGAGTTCGTCAATGGGAAGGATGACATCACATATATGAAATGGAAAATAGAAAATGTGTGAAACCACCACCTATTATCAGTAATGTAACAAAACATTGGCTAGTGATGCATCAATGGTTAGTGATACAATGTTAGAAGTAATGTAACAAAACATTGATACATTAACTTTGCTAGTGATACCATTCACATCACCTGTTAACGGGGAACATTATATAATAAGTAGTTAAATAACCAAATTATATAGGGCTACAACTTGTTATATTAAGATAACCTATATATATAATATATACATAAACTACGGCAACATTGTACCCCTCAACCAACCGGTTGATCCACATCCGCCGGGGAAAAAACACCTTGATCTTCCGGTAGTTCTCTTTCGACCTTGGAACTTACCAGGTTTGCGTCCCAATTTTCCTCGGTGTACTTCTTTGAAAAACAACTCCATTTTCAACATTCTGTGGATGGTTGCCAGAATCCAAATCCTTAGTTGATAGGTGGCAAACATCATCAAACATCCCATTGGAGTTGAAAAACCTTCCAAGGTGGTTTATCGGATTTCGCAACCACACACGGGAAAAGTTGTACTGTACCGTTTTTTAGCCCTGTTTGGTCAGTTGTTTTCATGGTTATACATGGGGTTGTAACTGAGCATAAATGGGGTGACTTATTGACTTATAACGGGCAAAAGGGCCACATGTTGTACCCTCTGGTAGTTTAACATAGTTATGGAAAACATGTTCATTTAGTTCGATGATTTACCTATTTACATTCTTTATTTTCATAGTTATGTGAAGAATTGCCCGTGACTTACCACAACTTGTAACATAGACGTGCTACAAACTGTGTTTTTTGATCTTCAAATCTGCGTCATTTTCCCACCTGGTTGTTGGCAAAACAACAACGTATCCCAAAAAAAGGTGAATGGGAAAAACAAATACTGCCTTTTCATGGGAAAAAAAACATCAACCATCCAGGCCAATAAAATGTGTCGCAAGTTGTATATAATATTTATAACTGTATGCATTTCCCGTCTGGTCTATATCAAAACAACGGAAATCACCTATTCATGATGGTTAGGTGTGTCACGCATGTTCTTTCAAGATCACCCCATGCAAAGTTCAGCGGATATCAACAACGTGGGGTTTCCTATGGTTTCCTCCAACTTAAGTGGCAAACCCATTTGATTCCTATGCCCTATGCTTGCAACTCAGGCAGACACCAAAAAACACAACTAGGTCCATGTTCAACATTATTCATTTTTTTAGTTTCTACTTTCTACTCATTCAAACTGGTGTTCCCCAGTCATAAATTGATGATTTTACCTTATGTTTGCCATTTCATTGTTCACTCACTAACTAGTTAGGGAACGGCGCTGAGCGGCGCCTGGTGGTTTTAAAGTGGTTTGCGTGCACTTCCCAATGTAGCTGCGCATGCGACCTTGCACGCCAGTTTTTTCATTTCTCAAAAACTAATTCAACCATAGAACAGTTTCAGCATAGTATGAACATGAACGTTAACATCCCGCCCCACAACACCCCATGATCAACGTAACATCATCAGCGTAACATGACCATGAACGTTAACATCCCGCCCCACGATACCCCATGATCAATGTAACATCATCAGCGTAACATGAACTTGAACGTTAACATCCCTCCCCACCCCAACCAATGATCAACGTAACATCATAAGCGTAACATGAACATGAACGTTAACATCCCGCCCCACAACACCCCATGATCAACGTAACATCATCAGCGCAACATGAACATGAACGTTAACATCCCACCCCGCCCGACCCCATGATCAACGTAACATCATCAGCGTAACATGAACATAAACGTTAACATCCCACCCCGCACCACCCCACACCATCATCAAACAGAAACAGAAAAACGCCAAAAAAAAAACACAAACAAACAAACAACAAAAGGACAACAAAACACCCAAAAGACAACAAAACACCCAGGTGCCGTTCAGCGCCCATGGCAACTAGTTAAGTACTTCATGATATTCCCCAGACACAGGGTTTTTATACACACCAAAAATACCACGCAATTTCTGCGTTCTATCATGAGGTTTTATATATATATATATATATTATAGATATTTAAATGCATATGACATGTGTATAAAATTTTATTGCATTATACTATTTTCATGACACCTTTACCAATAATGTGGGTAAAACAATGCCATACCAGTCATCACCATTTTTATAGGTGGCATGGTTACCATTCCCCAGTCCTGAGTGGTTTATGACATTGTTTTACCCACATTGATTCATTAAATTTTCCCAGTGCTTCCCGCACCGGACGTGGTCGTCCGGTTCCCCATCTCCATCCTGAGCCATGTGCATGGTATACGTATCTCGCGTAGCTGCCAACTGACACAACTCCTGCACCGGTCGTCCAGCGGGGCCATTGTTTTGGTTGCACAAAAAAGAAATGGTCAGCAATAAACGGATAGTGATGAGGTATGACATAACTATGTTTACTTGGAGGATCATCCCATCTAGTAAGCAGTTAGTGGGTTATAACCTCACTTACTAACCATTTACTACGTGGGATAATCCTCCAAGCACCGCCATGTTTTACCAATCATATTATACATTGACATGTTGTTCGGGTCTGTCTTGAAATGGGGTATACCGTATACCCAAAGAATGTTGCTAGCTTTGCCAAGGTACTCGCGGCCATTGCTTCCAACCCAATGAACTCAAGCACAGAAAAAATAGTCAAGAAAGGTGAAAACAGTTTCTGAGATTCTGTGATGTCTTGTATGGCAATGTGTGAAAACATGACAACATGTCTCGATAGCATGACAACATGTTGTGTTCAGACATAAGTGTAAATTCAAGTGCACATGAACGTCTCACAAGCGCACTTTTATTTGCAAACAAATGCAGGAAAAAAAACGGGGCCTAACCTTCACATGCGGCTGACTCGAAATCCTGGAGAACTCCCAAATAGAAAGGATCGACATCAATGCCTTGCCGGCGCAGAGTCTCCACACAAACCTCTCACAGAAAGCTCTCGACACATCGCTCAGGCCATGCGCATCATTGGCCGACAGGTCCTCGGCGGCCCAGTGGCTCTGATTGAACTGCTCAACCACTGACAGCGAAAGCCCCTGAAGCTCGTCCAACA